CTTGGAGGACAGGGGCCCTGCCTGTGTACCTCTGCTTACCCCCTTGCCATCTTTGGACATCCTCATTTTCCTTATGTGAAAACTAGGCACCATGTACTGAAGGAACAGATGCCAGGTCTGTAACTGCAAAGCCTTCCCATTGTGCCACAATCTCTGGAGCATGGTTTCAAACCAAGTGCTGGGCCTTTACCAAACCATGGCCAGGAGCCCCGGATGGGTCCTGCTGAGGGTTCTGAAATGCTTCTCCACAGAGACCTGACTTGGTTGTGCTGTGAGAGCACTGTGCTCCCCACCACATCCATTGGTGCCCACAAAGGCTCTGTCAGAAAACTGTCAGTGCCCCAGCTTCATGGAATGACCAGCATCTGCCCAGCCCTGCTACGTGGCTCACATAGACAGCTGAAATGATAGGACAAAGTATAAAAAGGAAGTGCAGAAGTTATGTGCCTCCAGTCAGAGATTTTGGAACCTCTGAGATAGAATGGCACGCTCACTAGCAGGCTCTGGGGCATGTTTCCTGCTTGCTTTTCCCAGATTCAGAAGTAGGGATGCCACACATGAGGGTCTCCCCCAGACTCAGGTCTTCTTGCTGTCACCACATAGAAGCAGGACAGCACAATGGAGAAAGTTCTGGCCAGTCAGGGGACCCCGGTTCTCATCCCAGCTGACTGTGAGGGACCTCATCTACATTCTGCAGCCACGCTGAGCCTCAGTTTACCTGTCTCCTTGTCAGCAGTTTTTTTTGTGCTCATACTTTATCCCAACTGGCCTGTGGGCTTCCTGGGCCTCTGTGGGGCTGGCCAGATGCATAGCAGTTCAGCATCCACGATGTGCATGTGGGTGAGTGACTATGTGCGCCACAAGTCCTCTGGGAGGCACCGCTCTCGGGCCCATAGAATGGTGGACCAGCCAGCATGCCCGCACTCAGACTTGGAGACCTAGTTCCACCACTTGATAGCTGTGCAACCCTGGTGAGTGACTTTACCTTTCTGAGCCTCAGCTCCCTGGCTGTAAAATGGAGTGATCAATAACCCTTATGGCCAGGAGTCAAGGATTACATGAGCTAATGCATCAAGGCCTCCTTCACCATGTGGGAGGTGTGCCTCTGTGTGATTCCTATAATTATCCCCATTTCGCTGGTGAGTGACTAGAAAGTACAGTCAGAGGCAAAGTCAGGATTTGAACCTAATTCTTTCCAAACTGTATTTCTTTATCAACAGTGCATAGGAATGTGAGACCATGAAAAGAGCCCTGTGCTGGTGCTAGGAGATGTGTGGCTCAGCCACCACTAGTGTCCTGTGGCCATGAATCTGTCAGGCCTCTGTTCTGGGCCTCTTACTCGCCACTATAAATGAAGGACTTGGGAAGAAAGTATGGCAGGATCATTCAGGGCCCCCCCCCCCCAAGCAAATGGATAGGTGGGTGTGGCTCTTCCTGCGCTAGTAAGGATCCCTAGCCCTAGTCTAGCCTTGGAAGTTTGCCCATGTCCCCCTCCCCCATGGTCTGCTGGGAAGATCAGTTAGGTAGTACTTAGGCAGACAGCCTCCTTCCTCCAGGGTCCATGGGGCAGGGAGGTCTAAGTGGAGCTGGACTCAGAGGCTTACCAGAGCCAAGCATGCTTCCAGATATACCTATTTAGGGTACTTCAAAAGCTTTCAGCAAGTAGAAGCCTGGAAGGCTCCATGGGGAATTGTCCTGTGTGGGAAAACTCACCAGTATTAACAGCTTTAGGACTCTCTCCTCTCACCTTCCACCTGTCCTCCAGATCTGTTCAGAGTTTGGGGGAAGAAAGATGACTACTTACCAACAAAGGTCAAAATCCTCATATAAGGTTCTTATTTTGTGTTCCTCCTGCATAACCCAAATGGATAACAAGTTCAAAAGACCATAAAGTCTTTTTCTAAAGCTTCCTTTCGGTTCCCTGTTGAGGATGCAGGATGGAAAGAGAGGCCACTTTTTCATGGCCTGATAAAACACAGGGTGACTGATCCATACCCCATGGAGATGAGCAACTTTCCTGTCTTATTTGCAGAAATAACTATTTCCCCCAACGTGGGGCCCTGTGGTCTGCTCCCGTCCTGTACTGCTGCATACTTAGGGGCAGAGCCCAGACACACATGTCCAGGCTGAGGGGCGGAGCAGAGACCCTGAAGACAGAGCTTTGGGTGGATGTGTGTAACTGTTGGAAAATGGTGGAAGAAAAGCTTTCCTTTCCTACCCACAGAGCCCGCACTAGTGTGGGGGCCGATCAGGGAGCTACATGGGCAGGGCCGCGTCAGCACCTGACCAGTGTGGAAAGGGAGCTCTCTGCCCTCAAAATGCTGAGCCTTATCTAATTGTGGCGGGATTCTCTCTGGGTGGCCACTGCCCTCAGCCAGGGTTCCTTGTCCCCAGTGCTCTGCACCCTGGCTTCAAGTCAGAGGGGTTTCTGAGCTGCTGCTGTTCCCAGATTTAACAGCCCTTGCCCCACTACTCCCACAAGCCAGAGAGGGTGCTGGGGATGGACTGGGGCCTCACTGCCCGGCAGTCTGTCCTACCCTCCGAGCCAAAGAGGGCCTGGGCAGGGCAGCCTGCTGCAGGGCTAAGAAGTGACTGAGAACTGCGGGCAGAGCCCTCCAGACGCAGATTCGAGTATCGGCCCTCAGTAAGGACTGCCTTGCCCACTCTGGTGCCCCTTAGATGTCAGACACTCTTGGTGCTTTATTTATGTTTTTCTCTAATCAATCAGCAAGTCAGCTGCTGCTGACTGCCCCAGCCTGATGGGGTGCACAGGTGTGGGGGACCTGCCCAGAGCCAGGCTGCTGTCCCCAAGGAAGCATGCGATGTTACCAGGGAGCGTAATGAAGGCTTGTAGGGAGGAGGCGCTCCTTTCTGCCAAGAGCTCAGGAACCAACAGAAGGCCTCTTGCCCCCTCTTGGCAACTGGACCTCACCCTTGAACCCTCCTCCTCAGTTCTTTTCATTTTTCTCTTTTGGGGGGTTGGCTTCAAATTATCTTATTTTGTTTACATTACACCCAAGTTTCATGGTACAAAAGACTTGCAGGTGCAAATATGTCCCGCCTTCATTAACTTCCCCTCCCTTTTTAATTTATGTGATTTCAATTTTCCTTCCCTGTACTGTTAATTAGGGGACCCTCTAATCAGTGCCATTATCACAGTGGTATTCATGTTTAGGAAAGCCGCTAAACAAATGCTTGCAAAATTGCTAAATGGCTAATTAATGTCTGTTAATTAAGAAAATTGCTCATGGTAACAAACCATGCCGTTGCTGGCAGCCGCTAGAAAGACACACACTTGTTGGAATTAGTAGCGTGGCAGGTAGGAGCACATCTGCTCTGCGGAGCTTTTAGGAAGTGAGCACAGCCCCTCGCTTGGCCAAGAAGCTGCAGGCCTGTCTTCAGGGGCGCCCCCAGGTTCCCCTGTGCCGTCTTTCTCTGCACACCCTGTGTCTCCATGCCCACCCACGTGCCTGTGCCTCTTTCTCGTCTGCCTGTATTTTCCAGTGAGCAGGAGGCTGGGCAGACTGGCTTTGAGGGAAAAGATGAAGAAAACCCCACCTGTGTCTCTCAAAGAGTCTTTCTTAATTTTCTCAGACCTGTGTCCCATGCATGCATTCAGTGTTTCTCAGAAGCAGCTTCAAGGGTTATGGCACAGTCGTGGAAAACAGAATAAGGGCACACTGCCCATCACTGGCACCATGTGCAGCCCCCAGTGCCCCAAGGGGATGGGCACCTCCAGCACTGCTGTCCATGCTTCCTGATTGTGACCCAGAGTCAGAGCCGAGGCGCCGTGACCCAGTGTGTATAAACACATGCGCACATACACACACGAGTGTTTACAAGTGAAATAGAGGGTAATGATGAAGCTCTCCGTTTTTTTCTATTTTTCCCGTTCTTTTTCAGGCTTTTAAAAAATAATGGTTGCAACCCACTAAATTGATTTCACCACCCACTAATGGGTTGCAGCCCACAGTTTAACCAACCCATGGTTTAAGTGAATTTATCTGCCCTGCTCTTCTGGGGCATGCATGGGGTGGGAGGGGTGTTGAGGTTGGCGTAGCCCTGGGCTTTGGGGATCAGCTCAGAACTGTGGGTGGCTCACCACCAACAGGATGGAAAGCCCTGCCTTTCACTGACACACCCACCCAGCAGTTGAAGTGTCTCCAGCCCCTTACCCTCTCTCCCCACCCCCCATTCCTCTGCACAAACTCTGGGCTGCAGGGGCCCGATAACTTTGCCTGGCTCTGCCATTTACCAGTTGTAGATTGTGGCCAGGCCCCTGACTAACCCTAACCCTTGAGACTCAGTTTCCTTAACGACAAAAATAGGAATGAGGAACCACACCTTACGGGCCTGTTTCCAAGAGCAGGTGAATTAATGAACCCACCCAGTGGGCGCTTGGTGACTGTCTCTTCCTCTCATTCCCCATTTGTTCCATCTCTGGTGCCACCTCACTCCTGCCTCTGTCCTCCTTCATCCTCAGGGCCCCACCCTTGTAGACAGGCCTATATCCTCCGTGCCACCCAACCCCTTCCCCCACAGGGAGCTCCTTCCTGCAGGGGCCTCACCTGGTTCTTCCCACTGCTATGGGCGACACCTGCACGCTCTGCAGAGTGGGTCGGCTCCCGCGCCCCTGTGCAGTCTGAGCCCGCCTCAACCAACGTATTTAACATGGCAAACTCCCCTCCAGCGGCAGACCGTGCGGGCCCCTTCTCCTGCGTGCTTTGACAAAGGCGCTTGATTGTACTTTTCATTCCTGTAAATCCCCCGTGAGTGTGTTGATCAGCCTCTCTCCCTCCCGCTCGCCTCACCCACTGGCACCACTGAGCCGGCGGCGACCCAGGCAGCAGCTCGCACCTCCCTGCCAGCCAGAGCCCGAGCCCGCGCCCGCACGCCCGCCACCCGCCCTTCGTTTTGGTTTAATTTTTGTTCTTTTAAGCTTCTCCTGCGCTTCTCCATGTGCTGTGATCTATAACCTGCTCTACTGTCTGGCCTCACAGGGTCCTCCGGGGTCACAGCCCTCGCCGCACGCACAGCCTCCACCTCACAATCCCAGCAGCATGATGGGACCCCACAGTCAGGTAAACGCAGTGTGGCTCGCCCGCCCGCCGGGGGGCACGGGGCACCAGGAGGACAGAGCCAGCAGAGGAAAAACAAAAATCAAAACGTGCTCTCGCCATTGCTGTGGAGTCTTTATTGACAAATGGAATTTTTAGAAAAATCCTATTTTTTCTAAAGATAGTCTTCGTTCCTTGGACATCACCCCCAGCTTGGATATGAAACCAAAAGAAAAAAGAAAAAAAAAAACGTTCTGTGACCTTGTCAGCGGCCTTTGCGTTTTTGTTTTTTCCTCTCTCACTTTTGGTTTGGTTTTTGAGTTTGGTTAACCATTCATTTGTAACTGAAGCTGCATCCCTAGTCTTTTCTTTGTGCGCTCTCGCTGCTGAGAAAGCTTTCTTGCCCATTCCCCTGCATTGAGTTAGGCAGCCCGCTGCCCCCTGACCCTCGTCATTGTGTTTTCCCCCTTAAACCCCTGCTGCCCTTCCCCACCCCCTTGTTGCTGGTTTCTCTGTGTGTGTGCCTGTGAGTGTGCGTGCATCCAGCCTTGTCTGCACACACTGAAAATTTGATGGATAAATCCCTCTTTGGAGTCTTCCTGGCCCTTACCGAGAGCAGAGGTCTCTTCTTTTGCCCCGTGTTGGTGTAACTGTTCTTCCTCATCCTGTGCCAAGTCCCAGCCGCTGCCCCGCCACCCATAGTAGATGTCGGTGAGCAGAGGCGGAGTGGGAAGTCACATGGGTGTGTGTGGCTATAGTTCCCTCTGCCCAAGGGAAGTTTTGCCCAGAGGGAAGAGGCCACTGGGGAAGAGTCTGAGAGATCACTAGTTGTAACAAAACTGAACTTTGTGGAGTGGAGCGCATTTGTGTTTGTCCCTGTGCAGTAGCGCAGGCTGTCATTGAACTAATTCCCTATAATTGCAGCCTTTTATGTCACCGAGATACGCAGGCGGCCCCAGGCCTCCGATCAGAATGGGAAACCAGGTACTGTAAACCTTTCCATGATCTCTCTCCCCTCACTGGGCCACCCTTGACCCCAGCTGGGCTTTGACTCAAATCAGAATTTGGGGAAAGGATTGGGAGGTGGAAGGTCAGGTTTTAACTTGGAGGCAACTTATAAGCAGGCCCCTCGAGTGGGCGCTGTGCCCACCGTGTGCCTGCGATATGGCTTCCCTCCCAGCTACTTAACCTGCTGCTCCTGCGGGCTGTGGGCGGCCAGTTCTGGAGTAAAGAGCCAGGGTGGGAAGGCAGGGCTTCAGCTCTTCTGGCCCTCCCTTCCAGCCCCTTCTTAGAAAAGGGTCTTCCTTCTTAATGAAGTTAATTGACAATGTGCATTTTTTCCTGGAAGCTTTTGAGAATTGCCAAGGCTGGTAAATATAATCCTGCTATTAAGGGGAGAAATGGCCCGTAGGAATGCTTAGATCAGGAGCCCGGATGCAGTGGAGCAGGACATTTGTGAGTTTTTAAGCAATGTTTGCTGCTTCCCAGACCCAACTCAAAACAAGAAAGGATTTGTTCTTGTAATTAGAAAAGTGGCCTGCTTGTGTGGAGGGGCCTTCAGCCTGGGGCTGTGTGCCTTCTGCTGGCCCATGAGGGCTGGCAACTCTAGGTGGTCTGGAGAACCGACCCCACACCACCCTCCTGGCTCTACCCAGGGAGGGCAGAGGGAAGCTGGAGAGGTAGAGATGAGCACCCTCCTCTGAGGATAGACAGACTTAAAAGGAAACTTTAAGGAAACATCAGGGAAATTCTTTTCATGCCAACATATTTTTTTACACATAATTCTTAGAGTGACCTTGCAAGAGCCCTCCAAAAAATCTGACGGCGATGCCAGCACATCAACCCTTGTTGGCTTTGGGGGTGGGAGTTTAGCTCCCAGATTGGCTTTACCCTTCCATTTTCAAGGATCAGCAACAAAGCCATGGAGTGAGATGAGAAGAGGGGAACTAGAGAGCGATGCGGCTACAGGGCCTCCAGTTTTAAAGTCAAGTTGTTTACCAGCTTTTCCCTTCCTGCACCCTCTCTGCCCCCCCATCAAAAAATCCTTTGTTTCCTATTTTCTGAAGGGGATGAATCAGAGACCCGGTGTTTTGGGATACCTCGTAGTGAGCAAACAGAAGGGCAGAATGGAGGCAGCGCTCCCAGTCTCCCAGTGAGCTGAGCTCGAGTGGGTGTCAGCTCCTGGCCCGCCGCTGTGTCCTTGAGCAGCCTTCGTGCTTGTGAAAGTGCTTTTGCGCCTTTGTTTCCGACCGGTCACAGACCAGGCCTCCCCTGCCCTCACACGCACCATCCCAGCAGCCTCTGGCCACCTGCCCTTGTGGGGCTGTTGTTGGCCCAGACTGGCCCCTGCCCCAGGGAGAGCACAGATGCTTCCTTATCATTGTGGCCTTTCCTCCAGCAATTAAGGGACACACGAGAGGAAGAAACGTGTATGTTTCTATTTGTCAATTAAGCACGAGCAAGTACCCAAGAGAGTAAACGGAGAATAAATCCATCATCTGCACTTCAAATTACAGACCAGTTTTCCCGACCTCCCCACTACCCCACATCAGAAAGCTCGGATGTCCTGCTTTCCTGTGAGCTTAAGAAATTTTTGCCCTCCAAGGGGGTGGGGGCATGCCCCTTATACAGGTACGGCCACTGTGCAGTTCTTGGCTAGTAACTCAGTTGAGGCTACTGGTGGCCTCCGTGCCCTCCAAGTTAGCTCAGCCCTCCCCTGTGGCATGTGGAGGAAGCAGAGGCAGTGGGACTGTGCAGGTTCCTGTGACCTCCCGGGTTAGGGTGAGGAGACGGACATTTAGGGGACAAGGAGCTAAGGGTCCTTGACTCAGCCTCAAAGTATTGCAGGGTCTTCTTCCCAGGCTGCATGTTTGGGCCTATGTATAGAGCACTGTTTTGTTTCAAATGAGGGTAATTGGTGGGTGGTGAATAGTGGGGTTCATCTGGGCATAGGAGAGGAGGACTAGAATCTGGGGTTGTCAAGTCCCAAACACATCCCAGCAGAGCCCCCGCTGGCCTGACAGTTGACTCAGGCCTGCACTCATTCGTGGGATTTGTCCATTTCTTGGGTAGACACTTGTGTGCCTGCCTGTGGTTCTGTAGAAGAGAAGCTGGCCTGCTTCCAGGAGCCTGTGGGCCAACCCAGAGCTTCTCTCTCTCTGCCAAGCCCCAGGCGTGTGCATGGTGCATGTTCGTGGCCCCATATCACGTCCCACCTATTCTTATGCTTGAGAATTTCAGCGTGAGACACTTTTATCCTGGTCATTGCATACTTCCTCTCCCTTGTTGAGGAGACCCAAACCGCCTGCCCCATCATTGGGGCACCCCAATGAGGGAAGGAGGAAAGATTCCACGACTCCCATGAACCTCGGGGCTGCCCAGCTCTGCCCTGAGTCCTGACCCACAAGGGTAGGGGGTCCCTCACCTAGGAGCTTCCTGTGAGAACTGCTGGTCAACACTAGGCTACCTGGAGAGGGGCCAGTGGCCCGACCCCCAAGGCTGCTCCATCTGAGTAGGATGAGGACCCTCCTTTCTCATCTCTATCCCAGGATACCCTAAACCAGACTGCCTCAGAGGCAGACCTTCCTGTGTTCTCTCAGAGCCCCATAACCAGGCTCTAGGGAAAACTCGAAGCCCCTTAGTGGACAGATACAAACCAGGCAAGTGATTCAAGTGTTTGGGACTTGGGGAGCAAAGCAAAACTGGGAGAAAGGAAGTGATGGGGCCAGCTAAAACCCAGGACTGGAGGGACAGACTCAGTACCCTCAGGCAGGTGACAGCCTCAGGTGTCAAAGGCCTTTTGGTGAGCACAGGGCCTCTGCAAGCTTGTGTGATCCTCTCATTAACCTCTCCACCTAGACACACACACACACCCCATCCCAAAATTAGGCAAGACAGCTTCCCACCACCTTGCTCCAAAACCAGTGTGGAGTTCGCCATCAGACCCATCAGGCATCCCCACAGCAGCAGCGGGTAGGGGCCTCTGTGGCAGGTGCCTGGCCTCTGCGGAGCACTGGCAGCTGCAGATTGGAAGGCACCAGCCAGCTTTCCTGAAGGCTCTGCTCTCAAAGCAAACACTTGTGTTTAGTCCAAAGACACGAGGGGGTTCTAGAAGCAAACCTCTTCTTCCAATTCTGTTCTTTTTATTTTTTTCCAGATTATAGCTGAAATAACTTCAGCCCTAAGTAAATCACTTTTAATAGGTTTTCACAGCAGGCGTGCCAAGCATTCACTAGGAAATCCACAGCACCCTGCCCTCACCTTTCTTGATAGTAACTGCACCAGCATCTGCCACTTGCACTGGGCTTTGGGGACCTGGTTTCCTTCAGCACCTTGCTGGCTCCTCTCCTGAAGGCCCCTCTTCACCCCTGGCTCAGAAGGTAGCTTTCCATAGTGGAAAAGCCAGAGAGCGTCCATCCTAGCCCTGCCAGTAGGTGACTAAGGACTGCTGGGCCTCTGGACTTCCTTTGCCCCATCTAAACCTCAAAGGCTGCTTCCTCCCCTGCTCCCATTTAAAAGGACCCCCCACAGTGACAGGATTTTTTTTTTGGGAGGGGGTAGCTCCCCACAGTTTTGGAGATGGAGATTTAGTTATGTCTCCATGAGGCAAAGGAAAATTTGACATCTACTGCAAGGGCTGGGATTCAGGGGATGAGGAGGGGCATGCTGCTTCTCGGGCATGTGGCAGGTGGTGTAGACAATGACCAGGCTCTGACAGGTGCGCAGAGCAGGGAGATGGTTCCTTTCCCACCGACCCTTCCCTTCCCACCGCTGCTACACTCCCTTCCCTACTACCCCTGCCCCACCATGCTACAGTTGACACCAGCCTAAGTGGACTGCTGCTCCTTGGGGACCTTCCCCCAGTCCACAGGCAGCAAGAATGGTTTTGGGTGTCCTAAATGGTGTGATGGGAAGCCGGGGAAGGGAGGCCCATCTCCCCCTTTGCCCAGTTCCAGGGAGCAGCCACTCAGCTCGTGTCTCAGTGTCTCATGTCTTTTCCAGCCTCCGGGAGGAGTTCCTGGAACACAGCCCCTGCTGCCCAATTCCATGGACCCCACACGACAACAAGGTGGGCAGGGCAGGGCAGGACTGCCCCGGGGCGGGGGCAGGGGCGGGGCCCTCCCCCTCTACTGTCTGCCTTGGTCTCCTGCCACCTCACAGTTCACTTCTTCTCTCATGCAGGGCACCCCAACATGGGAGGATCAATGCAGCGAATGAACCCTCCCCGAGGCATGGGACCCATGGGTCCTGGCCCCCAGGTAACCATCTGTCCATCAGTCCATCTCCCTGGTCATTGTGTGCACCCGCCGCCTTTCCTCTTTCCATTGTCTATCTGTCTTTCCATGTTGCTCAACTCGCAGGGGTGGGAGAAGAGGGCATGACTGTCCTCTCTGCTGTAGGTGGGCTGGCCCATGCAGGGTGGAGGCGCTTAGGGAGCAGGGCGTGTGGAGAGCCCTAGGTGGCAGACCCCTCCAGGGGACAGGTGCACTCAATGGCACATGGTCCTAGGAATCTGAAAGGCTGAGTAGTGTTGTGGGTCCTCCCACACCAGACACCCTAAAGCCTCCCACCTGATTGGATGGACTTGAACTGGCTCAGGGTCACGGTTTGTTGTGACCCAGAGGTGGGACAAATGAGCAACAGGCCTTGCTCTGGCTGCAGCTCACTATTTACCTGTCCGTGGTCAAGTCACTGTGGCTTTGGTGGACCCCAGTATCCCCACCTGTCCTCTGGAGGCTGCTTCTCTGTCCATGGTTCTCAGCACTGCCACCCCAGGTAAGCGGAGACTAGGCTATCCAGGGCCCCCGGCATCCACTTCAACCCAGAGCTTTGATAATTCCATATACCAGGCCTGTATTTAAGATTTCTTTTGACTAGAGAGCTCCATTGCCAAAGAGGGCAATTTAGAAAGTTCTGGAAGAAACCACATTCAGTGCCTGTCTCCCTCTTTACAGTTGCCGTTCACGGTCATTCATTGTGACTCAGCTCTCTAGCCCACAGGTACAGGTTGCACAGGACCATTGGGTTAGGGTCTGACAGGCCATTCTTGTTCTAGAATCTTCTTAGGGTTGGCTTCCACTCCTCCAGTATTTGAGAATGGATCTGTTTCTGCAAGCAGCCGCGCAGAGTGTTTGCTGCATTCTTCCTTCTTGGGAATTCTCTGGAATCTAGCTAAAAGAAACTATAGATCTGAATAAGGGGAGAGGAGTGAGAACAGGAGCATTTTTTTTGGGGGGTCTTCCTTTCCTGCCCTGCTCTGAAGTCGGCTTATCTCCTCCATCCTTGCTTGTGGATACTCAGTCTCTGGGCTCCTCACAGGGTTTCAATTCCCTGATGGGTGTACTAGCGCTCTGCTCACACACACACACCTCCCTTTTTTGGAGACTCCAAGGACTCTGTCCAGAATTTATAATATTTACAGCACACCTAGCACACTGCTTTCTTTTCACTGGTGCTGGAATATCCATGATGTTGAAAGATTTTAGGGAGGCCCTTGTCTTCCATTGGCCCCATAGTCCTAAAAGGAATTCTGCAAGTTCACATCAGTTGCAGCTGCAGTTTTCTTGTTGATGGTTTTTTCCCCCCTTCATCAAATCCCTCAAAGCTGGTGTTTTTGCCAGCTCCTTTAAGCCGCTGGAGTGGCCCCTTCCTGTCATGCAGCCGCCTTGAGCCAGCAGGCCGCCGGGTGGAAGAGCCGTGGGAAAGGCTGCAGATCTGAAAGCAGAGCCTTCCCGTTACTGAGCCTCTTGGCTTTAGACAGACATTAGACAGATACCCTTGGGGTAGAAATCTATGATGGCCTTGGACTTCTTCTGTCCTGGGGGAGAAAAGAAGATGGAATCCGAGGCAGGAAAGCTTAGTCCCTGCTTGTCAACCCCTCTGGGTTCTGAGCCGCTTAGCAGCTGCATCTGTAAAATGGGCAGGAGACCACTGTCTGCTCTGCAGGGCTGCTCAAGCAGGCTCAGGTTCTCTGAGTGATGCTTGGTACAGACGCCTCTTAGCAAGCAATTTCTGTTTTCCAGCATGTGCACTTGAAGCAACATTCTGGATTGTAGTTGGGTTTGGTGACTGCTTTTAGTTTCCTTTTTATTTTTAGTGGCAAGGGGTAATCGCAGTTTGTTAAACATGTAGTATGAGGTTCTAGAAGCTGAGAGCGAATGTTATCAGACTGACTGAGAGCAGAATATCCCAGAAATCTAGGACTTCCTTCTGGCTTAACAGATGTCTTGTCAGTGACTAGCAGTCCGGCTTACTCTTGTGATGCAGTTTAAAGAGGTGAGGGTCCTAAAGATTGGAATCCTGTCCCAAAGAGCCTCATGCACCCACTGTGGCTCTCTTGGTCTTTCCTCTCCCATAGATCCTGAGAGAGACGCCCAGAGGGGAAGAGATGCTAGCCCAGGTGAGAGGCCAGCTGACCTTCCCTACTTCCGCCAACCTTAGGAGTTCTGAAATCGTCTCTCCCATTTTTTTATTTTACCAGTAGGAAGATCCTGAAGTGCTTTCCCCATATCTCCTGTACCCCTCTGTATAGGGTGCTATATAAATTCCAGAGCATTACCTCTTCCAGAGCATCCCAGGATTTTACACAACTTACATGGAGACAGAAAGTTCTGCCCTTGTGTGAGACTGAATCTGGGTCTGGGCCTGGGCCCAGCTGTGTGTGGGATAGATCACAGCGTCTGGGATCAGCCAGGGAGTGGGACCCACAGAGTCTGGAAGTTTGAGGCCTCAAGGCTAAGGGTGGAGAGAAGGCAGATTCCCCACCTTCACCCCCAGCCCTTCTTTCTGCCACCTGAGAGTCCTACCCTGGCTGCTCCCAGTGGATAGAAGATTGAGCTTAGAATTCGGTGCTAGAAAACACAGCCCTGACCAGGACACAGCCTTGTTGGGCCTTCAGTGCCTCATCTATAAAATGGGTGGGTGAGTGAGGCCCTCACTGGCTGTGTGGGGCTGGATGAAGTAGCAGCTGTAAATACCAACCTCAGCATGAGGCACCTGCGGATGCTGGCTCCCACTTCCATTAGGACCTGGGCTTGGGGGCGGAGCCTTGCCTCTGGCATGCCCCAGCTGCTGGCAAGGGCAGCCAGCCCCTTCAGGAAGCCTGCAGTAAGCTCCACTGCATGCACAGCACCATACATAACCAGGGCAGAGATGGGAAGCTATCAGTCCAGTCATTGAATGGGGAGTGAGACAACTTAAGCCAATGGCCACTCCAGAACATCCTGGACAAAGAATAAGCACAGTGTGTTCTCAGGGCCACTTCATAGCTTTCGCAAACAAGAGAAGTGACATCGCACCCTTTGAGCCCAAATGTCATAAAGGACTCAGCAGATCGGCATCACCCTGCCCTCTGCCCTTAGTGCCACAGACAGATTTTACTGTTTTTCTGAAATGGCCTCTGCCTGCTAGTGTCAGGCAGGGGCCTTTGGGCTGTTGTTGAACTTAGAATGAGGCTAATTCTGCAGCAACTTGTGGCCAGGATCCTGTGGAGAGAATACCAGACCCCATCAGAGGAACCGTGGCTCCCAGACCCCACCATGTGTCTGGAATTTGGGTCGGGGTGGAGTTGGCACAGCCTGAGCCCAGATACCATCCTGGCTTGTCTGCATCTGAGAAAGTTCAGATGAAAGATGATCCACAATCCCTAGGGACGATCCTGTGCCACCCGGGAGAACTTGTATCCCTGGGAGTCCAGGGCGGTCCAGGCCCCTCTGTGAGCTGAACCACGGAAAGAGATAGAAGGACTGTAAACCTGGGGAGAGTGGCCGGGACTGGGTGGAGAGGGGTGGGGCCATGCCAGGACCTTTCCCTCCCAGGAGAGGTGTCCAGGCTTCCATGTGATGAGGGCGTAGGAAACTGCTTGGCAGCCTAAAGTCTTGGATAGATCCATTTTAAAAACGGGGTATTTCTTGCCCTATTTCTGAGGTGAAGCTAGAACTGGGCACTGTGATGGGGAGTGGCAGGAAGCAGCAGCAGACCCAGCCCTGCTGGGTGCCTCCCCAAATTCCCAAGGACCCTTGCCCAGAGCAGAGTTGAAAATGAGAGACTGGGAGCCTGACCCAGGGTCTCTGGCAGTGGGACCCCTCCTTGTCCCTAACGATGGATCAGACCCCTCTGGCCAGGGTGTGGAGATGAGGGTGAAGAGGCTGGCACTGGGAGAGGAGAGGACCGTTTCTGCTGGGTCGCTGAAACCAGGCTTCCCAGCCCTCCAGCCCTCCGGGAAAGGGCTGATATGTCTCATTTGAAACTCACTTCCCCCGCTACCACCAAAGCTGGCTGTAACCCAACTTTCACCCAAACATATTTCAGGCTTGGGGAAGTCCCTGGCCTCTGGACTTCCAGCCCACCCTCAGCGACCATCCCGGGTGTGTGCCTCTGTAGCAGAGAGGCGTTGGCGGGCACCCTCCCTCCAGGGAAGCGGCTGTGGGACTATTTGGAGCCTCCCTCAGTCGGGCTAGGGTAGGACCAGCAGATGGTGTGCTGGAGGCTCCCCTGAGCTGCATGTCCAGACTTGTCCTCCCTCTCACACCCATCTTGGAGCTGCAGGGTCCTGGGCCACACCCGCCCCTCAGCCAACATGCACTTTGACCCCTGGCACAGGCTACTCTCCCCATGGACGGCAGGATGTAGGTGCAGCCTCGGCCAGGCTGAGTAGTGGAAAAGTGGGCTGCCCAGGAGGTGGTGAGCTTCCTGTGCTGGAGGAGCAGCGGAAGTGAGACTGAGATTTGTAGAGGGGATTTAGGTGCTGCACAAGGGGCTTAGAAAGGGCTCTTTAAGACCCGAGGTTCTGTGATGCTTAAGGCAGCATTAAGGGCTTTGGCGTTTGTTTTGCTGCTGACATCCCAAATCAACACACACCTCCAAGGGCTGACAGCACTTGAAAGCCATCATTTCATTTGATCCTCACAAGGCCCTGTAACGTTGGGGCCTCATTGTCCCCATTTTACAGACAAGGCAGTACAGCAGAGGGAGGTGGAGCTTCAGCACAGCTGTGTCATCACTGCTTTTTCTGCACCTGTTTTTTTAATTTTTTAAAAAGATTTATGTATGCATACAAGAGCTGGGGGTGTAGGTCAGAGGTAAGGGAGGGTGAGAGGATTCACCAGAGACAGTGGGGAGCAGATCAGGCAGATTGACTGAAATACACTGCTGAGGGGACAAGCGGGTGAGACAGGAGAGGTCTGCTGCGCCATGTGGGTAGCTCCCTGGCCAAGGATGGAACCTGTCCTGCAATGGCTGCTGATAGCTTCATAATGCTGAGACTTAACCCCTTGTGCCACCAGGGAGGCCCCTGTTTTTTAATTCTTAAAGTGGGGATAGTAATCGGGTTGTCATGCTAGTTAAGTGTAGGTGATAGAAGGTACATAGCACAGCCTGGTATGGAGTAAATATTATTATTTGTGTAGTTTGCCCAGAGTCACCAGTAAGTGACCCACTCGACTCACTCTCCCATTTGTAACCTCAGGTCTGCAGCTCTGCTCACCCTTGGCAGCTGTCTGTGCACTGCACCTAGCCCCTGCCTGTCCCACGAGCCTGCCACTGCTTGCTCAAGGGCAGGCATTCATCTTCCTGACCCAGGGACTCTGCCCCTAGCAGGAATGGGCGATTCAGGCTCTGTGAGAGCTCACTGTGGGGGTTTCTCTTTGGCTGCCGCCCTCAACTCCAAGCTTTTGGCCAGCCAGCCTGGTCGTGCTCCTGAGAGTCCTGTCTGTCGGGCATTCTTCATTACAGACTCCAAGTCCCTCTGTGGGTGGCCAAGCAGAGGAGGGGGCCCTGAGATGGAGAGGCCATCACCCTGGGGTCAGCTCTGAGTTTGTTGGCTCTGGCTCTTGAGCCTCCTGCTGGGGCCCATTGTCCATCCACTTCTCACCAGATGTGTGGCATAGCGTGTTGTCTCCAGAGGCTCACAGATCCAGGGGAAGCCCAGCTATGCCATTTGACTTTGAGCAAATCTTCCTCCCCTTAGGCCCTCAGTCTACAATCCTATAAAACAGGAGTAATACCAACCTCGTGGCATTGCTATAAGGCCAAACCACAGAGTGCCTGTAAAGCATACCATACTCTGGGTAAAGAACAGGTGGTGCTTGCTGTTCTTTGCCACCAGAAATCCCACCAACCTACTTCTTTCAGATACTCCTATAAGGGCAGAACTTAAGCTATAGCCACGTTCATTCTATTTTCTTCTTCACTCCTTCATTGATTGATTAAGCACCCAGCCTGTGCCTTCAGCAACATAGAGTAAAAGAAGATTCAAAGATCTTTAAGATACAGTCCCCACCTTCAAAAGGTATTTAGCGTCCAGTGGGAGCAGTGTCGATGACCATAACCTAAGTGGTGCAGGCCGTTTGGGAGGGATATTACAAAGTATTATGAACTGACCAAGATAGACAGGGAAGGCCTCACAGAGGAGGTGGTGTTTGAGCTGGGTATTGGAGGATGTATAGGAGCCTACCAGGTGCAGAAAGGAGGCAGGGCATTTATTCCTGCAAAGAAAATAGCTCTGGGGCCTCTGCAGTGCCGGTTCGATCCCCGGCCCGACGGCGAGGGTCCCACATAGTGCAGCAGACCTCTCCTGCAGCACCCGCTGCTCACCTCAGCAGTGTATTTCGTCAGTCTGCCTGCTCTGCTCCCCGCTCTGGCTCTGGTGAATTCTCTCACCCTCCCGCACTTCTGTCTGTACCCAGTGCTTGTATGTATGTATGTATGAATGAATGAATGAATAAATAAATAAATAAATAAATAAATAAATAAATAAATAAATCTTTTTAAAAATTATTAATAAAAAAAAAGAGAAAATAGCTCTGGAAGGGGGGGCAAAGGGAAAGCATTGGTTTGGTTTGTGCCAGAAGACAACCAGGTGAAAGGCCTGAGGTGTTGGTGCAGGGCACTTGTGATCCACCCCACCCTGCCTCGGAGGGCTGTGCTAAGCTGAGTCAGGATTCACAGGAGTTTCCAAGTTCTCTAGACTGCTCTCAGATAGAGTAGCAATCCCCCTAGAGTAGGAACAGAGTCCACCTCCTCTCCACCATGCCTATGGAGGGCCCCACATGCTGATGCCTGATTAGATTAGGTGACTTGGTTCAGGGGTAGGGTGGGGGGACCACCTAGACCTGGGGCACAGTGGGGTGTCTGTGCTGGGTTTGGGGACAGCTATAGGATAAGCCTTGGGGAGTGTGTCTTCCCCTTGCACATCCAGGCCCAGCCCTGCCCCAAGCTGGGCAGTGGTCTCTGCCCCCTCAGTTTGAGGTGGCCAGTCAGTTCTGTCACCAAGACTGTTCCCCTTAACCCACCTAAGACCTGAGGGCACGATCCCCACCAGAGATATGCGTGGCTTGCTTGACATCCATGTGCTTTTGAGAACCGTCTGGAAGCCCCTGAAGATGTGTTTTAAAGTTGTGACTGTCCCTCTGTGCTGGCTTGTCATTGTGGTCCTGTCACTTGGTTCCCACCCCCCCACACACACCTTTTTTAACAGATTGTTTTTTTCTCATCAGATCCTTTTCACAGACTAACCCTCTCACTTATATTCTGTCTGTCTGTCTTTCCTCCCTCCTCCTCTCTCCGGCTCCCCTCCTTCTCATAGACTGACCCTTGGTTATCGTTGCAGAATTACGGCAGCGGCATGAGACCACCACCCAACTCCCTCGGCCCCGCCATGCCCGGGATTAACATGTAAGGCAAACGTGGCCCTGCCGCGGCCCAGAGCCTGTGACTCCCCCTACCCTCCCATGGTGCCCCTGGAGACCTGGTGATCTGAGTAATACCTGGTGCCTCTCTGGACCTCAGTCTCTTCATCGCTAAAGCGGGGATGTTGCTGCTGGGGATGAGAGCTCATCCCTGACGTGCTTCTGCATGCCTGGCACAGCTCTAAGCTTGCTTCGTGGATCAGTTCACCTGATCTTCATAATAACCCTAAATTGACTGTTATTATCCCCTATTTATAGATGAGGTAACTGACGCAGAGAGGTGAAGTTAACTTGTCCAGGCTCACACAGCTCTAAGGGGCAGGGTCAATACTGAACCCCTGGAAAATTGACCCATCCTAATGCCTCAGGGGTTCTTAACCCCTTTGTAGTAGTAAGAGCCCTGTGGGAATCTGTGGGTTTCCTTCCTAGGAAAATGCACATGCAGAGGAATGTTATGTATTTTACTCGTTAAGTGTAACTTAGAGGCGTTCGTAGCTGTCTCTCCATGAGCCATTACCACCCCAGAACCAGGTCTCTGAAGCCCTAGCACCTTATGAAGGATTCCTGTTATGGAGGGCAGCCCTCTTGTTCTGCCCCTGCTGGCGCCATCCCTTTGGAGCTCATAGCACCTTTTTCATTGTCCCCATCTCTCTCCCTCTCACAGGGGCCCGGGAGCTGGCAGACCCTGGCCCAATCCTAACAGTGCTAACTCAGTGAGTACACAGGTCCAGTGGGGTAGTGTTTGCAGGAGGGGATTCTGGGGCAGGCTGGTTCCCGTCCCCGGGTTGAAGGTGTCACGGGGAGGAGGGATGCAGTGCAGCAGGACTCCATGTACTCCTCCGAGGAGAAGCTGTGGTGAACAAGCTGAGGCCCTCAGAGGCCCCCACCCTGCCCGCTGCTCTACAGGAACTCCGAGGAGCGAGCTGAGAGTCTGGCTCTGAGCGTACCGTGTGCACGGAAGCTCCTGCCACACACCACTTCCCGGCAGGACTGGCTTCCTGCCCTCAGAGTTGCTGGGGCAGGGACTCAGTGTAGACAGTCCAGGGGGAAGGCCAGATGAGCAGGGGAAGCTCTCACTTCCCTTCCCCCACAGCTCCCTGCCACGCTGTGGGTAATAGCAGCCCTGGTGCTCGCAGTCAGTTCAGTGTAGGAGCTGGACTTGGCCCACACTCCCCGCCTTCTCGGGATGCTAATCAGGTGATTCAGTGGGTCCTACAGCCTTTCCCATCAAGAGTGGGATTATGTCCCCAAGTGGATTTGGAAGCCCTAAGGGGGCTGCCTGTCGGAGGAAGTGACTGACAGCTGGCTCCCCACGTCTTGTTTCTAGATTCCATACTCCTCCTCATCGCCGGGTACCTATGTGGTGAGTGTGTGTGTCTGTGTATGGTGGAGGCGGGTGCGGGCGGTGTTAGGACATTGAATCTCAAACCAAATGTGTGTCCCTGTCACAACACTCTGAACACAGGCTCCCAGCAGAGCTAGAATTGCTGTCAGTATTTAGGTTTTCCTACCTTCTGGTGGCCTAGAAGTCCCCAAACAAGACTGGAAGTTGGTTTTCCTAAGTGGGGGGGCCTGAGCAATGGGCTGGTTGGCATCCACCACAGGCCTTCAGTTTCACTGATTGACCTGTGTATGCATATACACATACTCTTGGTTTAAAAAAAATAAGAAGAGAGAAATTTAAGTCTAGTTTCCAAGGCTTTAAACATCTAGGCTCTGTGTGCACACGGGTTTAGCAGGAGCTGAACGCCGGCCAGGCCAAGGGTGAGCATTGGTGCTAACATGGCAGAAGCTTGGGGACCTCTCCCCACGCATGTCAACTCTTTTGGTATCTGATGTCTGTTTTTATTTCATCTTCAGGGACCTCCTGGTGGTGGTGGCCCCCCTGGAACACCCATCATGCCTAGTCCTGCAGGTGAGCGGCTTTGGGGAGACAATGTTCTCAGGAGAGTAGGGAGTCCTGAAGGGTCCGGTGCAGAGCCAAAGCTTAACAGACAGGCTCCCTCTGAAGCAGCACATCCCCCACCAACCATTTTGGCATCAGAGATTTAGGGGGCAGGAGGCCTAACTGCCACTAACCTGCCCTGTGGCCCTAGCCACACTCTTCAGTTCCTGCTAAAGGACAGGGCAGAGAAGGGAGATCCACGAACCAGGGCCCTCATTCTTCATCCACTGTCCTTATTCTGCCTTTTTCTAGATGACTTAAATGGGGACTGGGTTCTGGCATCCCAGGGCCAGAACTGGGTTCTGGCATCTGTGGCCTCGTACCTCCTAAGTTTCCATACCTCTCTGGCCTCTGGCCCTCTATGTAGGTGGTCCATCTCCCTTTTTCTTTAATCCAGTGAAGGGTGTGTGGGTATACATGTTGGCCTGTGCACACATACAGCATCACAATTGTGTTTCTCAGCTAAGAATAGCAAAAGCCAGCTAGAGGGAATTCAACATACAATCCTTACCCACCCCAAAAATAAAAAGTGAGAGCTAGTTGGATTTCTGCCCAAGAAATATGGTGCTGACTGCTCCTGATATAAACATGTTAGCTGATTTCCTAAGAAGACTTTGCTGGCTAATTGGGGAGTCGGAGTTGTCCCTCTCTCCCGCCCCCTCCTCAGCTCCCCATGGCAGGGAAGCTGCTCAGCTGCAGGGGTGGAGCTGACAGCGACCGTGATATTCCTGCTCCCGCGCCGGCTCCCTCTTTCTGCTGCTGCATTTTTATGAGCTGCATGACCTACATTCAGACTGGGTCACATTAAACCACTCCATATGTTAATGCGTCTCCAACCCCATCCCTGCCTTTCCCTCCTGCCCCATCAGCTTGGCGGGATGGCTCCTGGGTAATTTGTGGCATTTCTTTTGCCTCAATTCGATTAAAACTGCTGGGCAGGGGCACTGGTGGGAATCTGGCGGGCCGTGTCTTGTCCCAGGCAATGTTGGGGACTAGGTTTGGTTTGGGGTGGGGAGATGAGAACTCAAACCTTTAGACCCCTTGGCCATGTCCACACTGCTGTCCAGACACCCTGAAATTCTTTGTTTCAGGGTTGAGTGATTTTCACAGTTGAATTTTCTGTGATTAAAAACTTTGTGAATCTTCATTAAATACAAATTAACCAGAAAATGGTGGTACTTAGAGGAAATTTTAGGTGATAAAATACAAAAGAATGAGTTCAAGTGCCACGAGTTTGTTTTAATTAAGAAATGAATTAATCACCCCGACTTATGGGTTTCCACTGTTCTACAGATTCAACAAATTCCAGTGACAACATCTACACAATGATTAATCCGGTGCCGCCTGGAGGCAGCCGGTCCAACGTAAGTCTGCTTTCTAATAATTTACATATCAGATACCATAACAAATCATAATTAACTTCATCAGCTGAGGGGAAAGCAAGTTTAATTGATTTCAGCCATTTGTTACCAAAGATGAATAAAATAAACCATCAGAAAAGTGATTAACTCTTGGGCAACTCCGTTCCCAATTCAGAGCTGCCAGGGTGTGGGAGGGTCGGGGGTAGAGTGATTTCTACCCTCTGGGCAGAGTGGGGTGCTGCTGAGGGAAAGCACCCACCGCAGGTAGGTCTGGGCTGGTCCCAGCCCTCTGGCTGTGCCGCCCTAGGCAGCCCCTCACCCACATGCACTGTTTCCTGGCTGTGAAGCTAAGACTAGAGTCTGTAGCAGGAGCAAGTGGCTACTCTGCCCTTGGACTTGCCCGCTCTGTGCCTCCAGGGCCTCTGGGAGTCTATGACTCCCACGCTTCTCAGCCCCTTTGCCTCTCAGAGTTGCAGCCTCAGTGAGGTTGCAACAAATTCCACCATCTCTCGCCCACTCTCATGTGTCCCAGCCCGTGGGATGGGATGGCTCAGCCTGCCTCCTCTTTCCAGCCGCACTCCCTGAGGACAGGGCCTGTCTGACTCACCTCCATAGACAGCCCTTCCAGATGGGGACGAGACTCGACCCTGCAGAGCTCAGGGTCTGGAGGGGAGGCTGCTGTGCGATCACTCACTCATTTGTGGACTTGTAGATCCAGACGGTTGGCTTGGAGCCCCCACAGTTGTCTCTGCCTGTTTGAGGAGAGGGGAGATGGTCTTTGGGATGTTCTCTTTGGTCTTGTTGGCTCAGTTTCTGGGGTGACATCTCAGTCACCTTATGTGCTCTACCCTGATTGTGGGCTGAATGGTAGACACTAAATGTGTTGAGTGCGCCCTTCAGGCTGTGGGGAGAGGGGCCTTCTTCAGGGAGTGGGACGCACATGCCACAGCCTCGGCTCTACCACCCATCTTACTCTCCTTCTGGGCATCCAGCACCTCCCACCATCCCACTGGGTTTTAGCACCAAAAGTCCTATATCTCAGGAGAGGGCTTCTAGAACACAAAAAGTCCTAGCTCTTGGCTATGGATGCAGAATTTTGGGCAGAAAAGGCAGAAAATGGCCCAAAAGGCAGGAAATGAGAACACTGAGTGGCAGAAGACAGCACAGATTACCCTCCTCCACTGTCCACGTTTCCCGTGACTTCCATGGATGAGACTCCAGGGCCTCTCTGTTGGAGTGCTGCCGGGCCCACCTCTGCCTGTCTTCTCACCTCTGGGCCTCATGTGGAGGTAGTCAGCTTTTGTTTTTCTTGTGAGTGTTATGACCATGTTTTCTGGGAGTTCAGATATTGAAAGTGAAATCAGTGACAGCGGCAGTGCCAACACGACCCAGACATCACCAGAAAAAAGAGCGCTGAACAATGACTATGTAAAGTTGGCAATAGGTGGAGGTTGAGGGGGGTGGTGAATGAGCAAAGCAGGCATGGAAGAGGAGGGCAGGGATGTAAGCCTTTGGAGTCACTCATAAGTTTTTCTGATCCGCCAAGAGATGCCAGTGTTCTGTCAAAAGTCATGGCTGCTGTGTCAGCCTGGGCATGCCCCCCATGGGCACCCTGTCACTCTGTCATTCCCACCAGTGCTCCATGAACCAAGGAGATTCCTGATTGGAGGGCAGCAATGAAAAGACCTGTGGGACAACAGAAGGGGGGTCACGTCCTATACACTGTGGCATTCTGTCAGGTCTTAACCAGCGATTGGGTGGCTTCCCACAAGTCATGGCAATGAAAATATGTCTCCTGGCTCTTGGGTACACTCACCTGAAAACTGGAGCTTCACTTATCTTGATTTCTGGAAAGAAATTTTCTCCCACCATATAATTGTTTTTAATATCCAGAGTTTACAATGCAAGGATCAGAGCTTTCTCTCAGACTCAAGTTTGTGATTCTTGATCAGCTCATAAAGCCTATGAGGATTTTTTGTCTTGTCTAATTTGGTTTCTGAGAAGACTTTATTCAAGTCCTCAGTGGACCTCTGATCAAATGGAATTAGGTTTTTTACCTTCTCCCAGCTCTTGTGCTCCTCAGAAACTCGGCACAACTTCTTTTTTTTTTTTTTTTTAGATTTATTTGTTTGTTTGATTGATTGATTGATTGATTGATTGATGCAAGCACTGGGTACAGTCAGAAGCGCGGGAGGGTGAGAGAATTCACCAGAGCCAGAGCAGGGAGCAGAGCAGGCAGAAGGACCGAAGTACACTGCTGAGGGGAGCAGCGGGCGGCAGGAGAGGTCTGCACACCTTGTGGGACCCTCCTCCGGTGGCCGGGGAGCAGCTGGGGAGCGAACTGGTGCCGCAGAGGCTGAGAGCAGCTTCCCAACCCAGTGTTCAACCGCTGTGCCACTGGGGAGGCCCTCAATACAACTTCTGACATCTTTTTTTTCAATGTCCATCTAGAGATTTCTGGGAAGATTTTAATGAAATTACAGAAGACAGAATACAAGATTGCTGTTCTTTTGTCCAAATGCAAACTAGGCTTTGCTTGTTTATCTGTATATTTGGCAGACAATACACAGTTAATTTGGCAAATTTCACTTCATTTATAACTTTACCTGCTAAATATCCCCCATTCTTTATCCCCAATACAAAGCAATATGATTTGCTTGCTTGTGTTATCATCGTGGAGGTTTGGGGTCACGCATCAATTTCCTCCTCATATACAGAAGCACCGAGTTTTTTTTACTTTATAGAAAAGGAGAAAAAAGCCTCAGACGCGACGGCCATCACTGTGGCTGGCCATAGAAAAGATGTTAAAATGGCAGCCTGCTGGGGCATCTTTCTATATTTGGAAATCCATGGAGATGAGAAGGATTTAGGTAGTGGGGTGATGGAATTCCAGTAAAATAGAAATGAGTGTGCTGTTTCTCCATAACTGTTTAATGATCTTTAAACCGCCAAGGATTCTAGGCAAGGGTTGGGCAGACTACACCTGAGTCACTGAGGGTCACGGGGAAGTTGTAACAAAACCTCAGCCCAAGGAATGACTTTTTTTTTTTATTTTTTTGTGTGGAAATAAGACTGCTTGAGAACACAAAAACTGTCACCAGTAAGGGCAGCCAAGTTAAACAGGTCTTTTTCATTTTCATTATTAAAACTATAACTTACTTGGAATCCATCTTGGCTCTCACAAGTTTAAATTACCTCTGTGTTTAAACCACTTTCCCTGAGGAAGAGAAGTTTAATTGATAATGGCATCCAGCGTGCTTGGGAATGGTCAGATATGATGGACAATCTCAGACAGGGACAGCCCATCTAGTGAGTTTATAGATGCAAAGGACCTGCCTGACAAGTAGCTGATCTGCCAGCACCGTCCTATACATGCATGTCTTTGAAGAACTAGAAGCAGATTTCTTCAGGTCCAAAATCCCACTCAAGGAAGTGTAAGCCCAAGTTCCTTACATGTGCCATCTTGTGGGGAGGGCAGTTTGTTGATAGCAGGTCAGACTGAAACCAGGGCTTGAGAAGAGCAGAGCAGCAAGTCAAAGTGAATTTTATGTTTGACTCCTTGTTCACTTTACCACAACATCATGAAAAGAAGGCTGTCCTAAGAACTGCAGGTGATTCGGGAACAGGTTAGCGGGAAGGAAGCTTCTTTTGCATCCCTGAAAGCAAACAGGTCCCCAGTATCTCTGTTGGAGACACCTGAGAACATTTAACTGTTCTCAGGGGCTCTCACTCTTGTTACTTCTGTTCAAACCAGCCTGGTCCGAGCCAGACACCAGCCTCAGCGTGTGCTGTTCATCGGTAGACAAAGAATATAGGCTTTCTCGGATTGAACCAAATGATCTTACTTGAGTGGGTTATATCTTGTTTTAAAAAGGGGTGGGGGGAGCAGAGCATAAACATCCTGTTGTATTATGGAATAGAAGGAAACATGTCATTAAAAAAAATAAATATAGGTAATGTCTATTTAATGAATCCCATTTAGGTTTCTTTTTAAAAATCTCACTCATATTTAAAGACTACACAGAAATTTAAATATTCAGTAGTTTTAAAAAAGTTAAGAGGACAGAAACATTGTAAAAATAATACATTTTTCTCCCATATTTATTAAACTGGTCCTCCTACTAATTGCCCTATTAACTAGTCCTACTATTGTTTCATTTAAATAATAATGTTTCAGTAACTAGAAGTAATACAAACAAAATGGTGCAGGGACAAATGGAACTTGCCAATGAATGAAATGGCACTGCTTTCTTGTGCCAGTACACAAAATTTAACTGAAAGTAGACCTTAGACCTAAGTGTCAGAGCTAACACTATAAAAACACTTACACGAAAATGGGAATAAATCTTTGTGACCTGGGTTAAGCAAAGTTTTCTTAGATATAACATCAAAAGTATAGGTGGCAAAAGGAAAAAGTAGATAGATTTGGACTTCATCAAAATTTAAAGCTATGCTTCATTTCAATGAAAATAAAAATCCATGGAGAAAATATTTATAAATCACATTTTTCTGATAAGAGACTCAGATCCAAAATAAAAAACTCTTAAAACTTCATAAGAAAAAGAAAACTAATTTAAAAATGGGTCAAGAATCTGAATAGTCATTTTTCCAAAGATGTACAGGTAGGCAATGAGCACATAAAAAGATGCCCAGTATCATTAGTTGCCAGGGAAATGCAAATCAGAACTGCATGGGGATATTCATGCCCACTTGGATGGCTGTCATCAAGAAGGCAAATAATGACCAGTTTCTGCAAAGAAATAAAGATATCGGAACCCTTGGACTGGCTGGTGGGAATGTGAAATGATGCACCTGCTTTGGCAGACAGTCTGGCAGTTCTCAGAAGATTAAACAAAGTGACACCTATGATCCTGCAATTCCAGTGCTAGGTTTATGCCCAAGGGAAATAAAGCATGTCCACACAATAACTGTATGGTGTTCATAGTAGCAGTGTTCATAATAACCCAAAAGTGGGACCAGCCTTTCCATCCACTGATGTATGGGTAAATAAAATGTGGTATATCCATGCAAGGGAGTATTACTTGGCCATCATAAGGAATGAAGTACTGATTCAAGATAAAACATAAATGAACCTTCCAAACCTGTCATGTGAACGGAGCCAGCCAAGAAAGATCGCATATCATATGCTAAGTGGTTACGTGAAATGTACAGAAAAGGCAAATCCATAGCTATAGAAAATAAGTTAATGGTTACCTGGGGGTAGTAGGGGCTAGAGGGGATATGGGGAATGTATAACTTAAAATACTTGCTAATAATATTTCTGCTCGAGTAATGACCTGAATAATTGTTTATTATGTTACCGTGTCTGGAGTTTTTTTGAACTGGTGTGTCCTGGGCTGACCTCCTAAAAGTTGGTCACTTCATTTCACTTGGGTTAATGAGTGTGAAATATTTGCCAAGTTGTAAAATGTACCTCAAAGCCTGTGAGCAAACCTGGAGGCCACTGGGGAGGCAAGACTGCCGCACCCTTGATGTGTGGGCATGGGGATGTGGCTGATGCCCTAGCTGCCCATCTGGTCACACTGGTCTCTGCTCTAGCCACTCCATGTTGCACCCTCCAGGAGTCCTCCTGCTCTGCAGGCTGCTGCTGGGGAATGACTTATATGGTCTCTCTCTAACTACCACCCCTCAGTTTTTTTTTTTTTTTAAAGATTTATTTATTTATGCATACAAGAACTGGGGTACAGGCCAGAGGTGTGGATGGTGAGAGGACTCGCCAGAGACAGAGTGGGGAACAAAGCAGGCAGATTGACTGAAACACACTGCTGAGGGAAGCAGCGGGCGAATCAGGAGAGGTCTGCTGCGCCTTGTGGGTTGCTCCCTGGCCAGCCGGGAGATTGAACTCATGTTGTGTAGTGGCTGCGGTTTGCTTCATAGGTTGCGTCTTAACCACTTGAGCCACCAGGTTGGCCCCCACCTCTCAGTTATTTTGATGCTTTGTCTCTTCTCCCACGCAGCCTGTTCTGATTTCTCCACCCTGAACTCCAGTGCCTCTTTCTGAAACTATAGCCATGCTTTTTGCCTGCAGCTCTTTCTCTGGGGTGCCTATGACCATGTTAGTTCCTCCTCTGGGCTGAGGTCCAGGTGCAACTTGGCTCTGGTCCTCAGCACCCAGCACAGGCCAGATGCCAAACGATCTCCATTCTACTCTCTCCATCACTGTCCACATGGCATCCACTCTGCATCACAGGGCCATGACTCTGCAGATTGGACTCAGCCATCCCTTTGTGGTCATGTGCTATGACCTCTGCCCTTTGGTTGTTTCCACTGTGAGTTGAATTTGATAGAGTTCAGACAGGGCTGAGGATGGGAGTAGAGCAGATTCCACCTTTGACCTCTGACCTGCCTGCTCCATTAGGTCTGCGGGGGTTGTCATGACCACCCTCCACTCTGTCTAAGGAGACAACCCCTCCTGCCCCCAGGGACCCCTATCCCGCTTCCTCTTCTTCCACTGAGTAAACCCACCTCTTCTCACCCCAGTGAAATGCAACTTGGCTCAAGGGGAGGTCCCAGCTTCTGGTGTCCAGTACCTGAGTGTATGTGAGGGAGGAGCCCCTCCAGAATGGGAGCTCCTGAACCTCTGTGGAGCCCAGGGTGGGAGCCCGTGAGGTGTTGCAGAAGGCCTCAGCTTCACACCTTGTGCTTCTCCCTCAGTTCCCGATGGGTCCAGGCTCGGACGGTCCAATGGGAGGCATGGGTGGCATGGAGCCACACCACATGAATGGATCACTAGGTAAGCCAGCGCCCGCTCCCTGGTCGAGCTGGACCCTGCCAGTCCCTGTCCAGGCAGCCTGCTTTTCAACTTAGTAAGGCCTGGTACACACCTCTGGCCTTGGCTGGGCTCAGGGGTGAACCTGAGAGAAAGATATGACGAGGCAGAAAATCCTCTGCATAGAAATTACATGGGATGTTGCGTGGAAGGGCTTGGAGGCCCCTCCACAGAAAAGCAAGCAAGCAATTGAATTGGATTCTTTTTCCTTCCAGGGTCAGGTGACATAGATGGACTTCCAAAAGTGAGTGTCTCCTCACTGACAGTGCCCACCCCTGAGGGCACTTCTCCCCATCCAGTGGGCAGGTTGCTGGGGATCAGAGGACTCACCTTCTCTCCTCTCTTTGCAGAATTCTCCTAACAACATAAGTGGCATTAGCAATCCTCCTGGCACCCCTCGAGACGATGGCGAGCTAGGAGGGAACTTCCTCCACTCTTTCCAGAATGACAATGTATGACACCCACCCTCTGACTCCTTCCTTGTCCTATCCCCTGGGGTCTGTTTATTTAATGAGAGCAGAGCGGCCTCCTGGCCAAGGCCTGCCCTTCATGTTTTGGGCCTTTTGCCAGGGTCATTTTCCCACCTTAAGTGCAGTCCTCACCTTCCTTGTCCACTGTCCCCTCCCCTAGCACCCGAGTCCAGCTGCTCTGTAAGGTTCTTTCCAAATTTTCTGCCTGCAGCATAGGTCTCTGCTAATTAAGCTGACATGGCTGGAAAAGCTCTGGGCTGGGACACAGGAGGTTGGGCTCTGGCCCACAGGGTCATTATCCCAGGGGGGGTCCATTTTTGTCTGTCCTGGGTGGAACCAGTGATTTCCAGGGGTCTTGGTGTCATGGGGCTGGCCACCTACTTCTCCATCCTGGGCTTACAGCTGTATTTTGATGAAGCAACATCATTGTTAGGCAGCTTCTGAGAACCTCAGACTAGCTCTCTCCCCAGGGGGACTATGAGAGAGTGCTGGGGCTCATCAGGTCCCAGTACCCCCACAGGGCAGGCACTGCTGGTGCTTCAGCTGGAAAGAAGAGAGGGGAGGCTGGGAGAGAGAAGGGGAGTGTGGGAGGGGACGTCAGCTCCTGTGGGGCAGACGCTGGTGCAGAGAGGTAGAGGTGATTTCTGACTCGCTTCCTGGCCCTGCCAGACCCCCGCCCTCACAGCCCCCCTTCTCTGCTTCTCCCCTCCAGTATTCCCCAAGCATGACGATGAGTGTGTGACCCCTCCTCTTCTCCACGACGCTGAGAGAGCCGGCATTGCAGGCGGGAAGATGCCAGAAATTATGCAAGAAGAAGTGAGGTGTCATTACCCAGGAGCTGGGGGAGGGGCATCTCCCCGCTCCTCCACCCCACCTTCCCCCCCACTCCCCCATCTTTCCCAATTTTAGTTTCATGCAATAAAAAGGCCGAACTTTTTATTTCATAAAACATGAAGGACAAAACTCAAAATAAAAATATATTTCAAATCAATGACCAGAAAAATCCCACCCCTTGCCCTTTCCCTGAAGGACCTTTTATGTACATGACACTTTTTTTGTTGTTTTTTTTTGTTTGGGGGTTTTACCGTTGTTGGGATTTTTTTTATTTGTTTTCAGGGGGGTTTTTTTGGGGAAAAATTTTTAAAAATGGAAGCTTCTAGCAAGCCCATCCCACCCGACCCAGTCAACCTCTTTGCTTTCTTCTTTAAAAAAAAAAAAAAAAAAAAGGAAAAAGGACAAAAACACATCCAGCAAGGCCTGCTGCCTGCCCGCGCCCAAGCCCTTCCACCGGGAGCCAGTCTGGGTGTGAGGCCTCACGCTGTCTTTGTAGCCATCTAAAAATAATAATAATAAACGGGGCAGCTTACAATCGGTGGTTTCCTTCAAAAGGCCTTTTTTGGAAAGAAAAGCCGAAGGCACCCTCTTCCACGCGGGATTGTCGGTGGGTGTGCAGGGGCGAGGGGAGGGCGGGAGCCTGTTTTGTGTTTGCTTGGTTTCTCCCGCCGAGGTGGCCTCAGCAGCTGCACAACTTGGACCCCAGAAAAACCTCGCCCCGGTTATGTGGTTGGAGGGCCCAGACCAGCCGACGGCGCTCAGGCGTCCTCCGAGGAGGAGAGGCCGACCCGGTGGCAGGCGCTGTGTGCCCAGGACTGCCGCCTCCTCTCTCTGGACCTCTCCCCGCTGCTCCAGCCCCCCCCATGCCCCCACCCCAGTCTTCCCAGCGAGGATCCTGCCAGCTGGGTGGGGGCCTGGAGCGAGTGGGGGAGGCCGCCCCGACAGGATGGCTGTGACCTGGGACATGGAAACTGACCTCCGCGTGCTCACCCCGTGGTCCTCGCAGCGTCGCCGCCAAGCAGATGGGCAGTGTGGGGCTGGAGTCTGGGTTTTCTTTTGTTTTGTTTTGTTTTTTCCCTGTATTCCTTTTTCCAAGACGGGAGACTGACCAGGATCGCTCTGGATAGGCTTGGAACTGGACGGAGAGACTTTGGAATGGCTGTGGGCGGGGCGGGGGGACACCAACAACCAAACAGACGTGCTGTTTCCGCTCCTGTTTTTATTTTCAAAAACCGACCAACGACCAACCAAGGCGACAGCGGAGCCAGGCTCCCCTCCCCGGAGGGGTGACACGTGGCCTCCCTCACCTCACCACCCCCATGGAAACCTTTGTGTCTTGCCCTGAAGACACCCGAATTCTTTGTACATTTACACCCCTCTCCCTCCTCCTCCCCTGTAGCTGGTCTTTGTTTTCTCCCCTCCCTTTCTGATCCATGTATATCATATTATGTGAGATATCATCTGCCTGAAAAAAGACCTCGTGCGGATTATTGGGAACATTGTAGCTGTTTCTGTGTTTTTTCTTACCTTGTAGTCTGGTTCTGAATTAAGAGAGGAAAAAAAAAAGTAATTATGATACATTGTAGTTTGTGTACGATATATGTTGATAACGTTTTATTAAAGGGACATCTTTTTCCGCAGCCCTTCCTGACATGTTTGGGGGGAACAAGGGTCAGTGTTCATTGTACTGATTACAGAATGCAAGGCGGCTGGCTGGTCACAGTTTTTGTTCCTGGCACGAAACGAGATTGGGTTGTGTTAACGGCATCTGCCTCCTTTTCCTGGCATGTTAATTCTGCCTGTTCTGTGCAGAGCTGCGCCGGCCCCGGGGGTGGCGGGTGGCTTGGGAGGGAGGGCGGGCATCAGCCTCACTTTAGATACTGGGGACATTATAAAAGCCCATACCGGTGTCTTGTCTTGCATGCACGTTTTAATTGCCAGGATATCTTTTTCTGGAAAGAGACTCCTGGTGCTTTGTGCTTTCCATTGAGAGCCCCTCTTGCCCGGGGTGGCCCAGTGGGCCGCCCCCACGCCTGGCTGCTTCTCACTTAGGATGGAATTCGTTTCACCAGCGGCCCTCAGCCTGATGCCTGGTATATTCGGGATTCCAGGCAGCCACAAAGCCTTCCATCCTCAGGTGCTGGGCTAGAGGAGGTAATGTTAGTTTTTAACCTCCAAAGCAATGGAGAGACCTTGAAAGATTTTTTGAGTCATCGTTTGACTTGAATTTCACAAATCTTACGTGGGATGCATCCTAGAAGAGGTTTGGGAGGAATTTGGCAGATAAGGGAGCCCAGTCCCAGCCATCATCTAGGCAAGAAATAGCTTGTGTGAGGTGAGTGGAGGAGCCACGCCGAAGGCTCAGCAGCTGCCTTCCTGCCAGTCACCAGTGTCCAAAAGATCCCAACTCTAATGTGACAGCTGGCCTGGTGATTGGGGTGGGGGTGGGGGAAGAGGCCTGAGTCAGGAAAAGCCAGCCCGCTAGAGACCCACAGCCCCACACACACTGGGCAAGCCTCCCTGAAGCTAAAAAAGAACCTTGAGGCAAACCAGCACCCAATGGAAGGTGGCAGGCGGGGGGGGGGGGTGCGCAGAGGCAGTGCAGACTCCAGTGGGCTCAGCTGGGGCTGCTCAGCCCGATGCCCTGGCTCACCCAAGGAGCCCCACCCCCAGCTTGAAGCATAGGGGTTCCATGAGCATTCTGTCCTAACTGAGTGGAGCTGGGGCTCTTGGAGGGAAGGAGAGGGAAGGAGGGAGGCAAATGTGCCCTGTAATGCCCAGCCCCAGCCCTGGGCTCATTGGAACAAAGAGCAGACTAAGGGAGATGGTGATGGGGGGTGGGATTCAGGGGCGTGTCCTTTACGTGCTGGTGCTTCGGCTCCATTCCTGGGTACCCCAGTCCTTGGCATCTGGCCATCCGACTACTTCCTTGGTTTCCTGCCTCCACCTCAACCTTTTCAATGGCCAAAAGATCTCACTTCTGAATGTCCTTAAACTCTTCCATCCAGCCCCTGTATTTACTGAGCACTTACTACATGCCAGAGACTGCCCCAGCACTAGGGATACAGCAGTGAACAAAACGTGGAAGGACTGAGGTGGGGCGGGCTGCGGGAAGAGCAGGTTTGGAGGTGCTGCTCCACTTGGCAAGTTCAATTAGAGACGCTTGTTAGATTTCCAGGTAAAGATGTCAAACAAGCAGGTCTGGACTAGAGACACACCGTGGGAACTGTTGGCGCTTCCATGGTCTTAAGAAGTCCCGAGACAGCTGAGATCTGAAACCGACGGGGAAGTTTTCAAGGACTGGGCCCTGCGGCTCAGCCATAAGATGTGGGGAATGGGAGGAACCAGCATCGCAGGCAGAGAAGTGGATGGGCGAACAAGGTGCCCTGCTCTGTGGGAGGGCCTGGAGCAGGAGGCTGAGGTTGAAATGAAGTAGGTGAGAGGTTCAGAGCGAGGCAGACACTAGGCTCTTTGGTTTTTGAGGCGTTGAATTCCCAGCTCAAATCTAAGGGCTGTCCCATGACTGAGCAAAAAAATGGAGAATGGATCCTTGCATATAAGCTACAGGATGGCTTTCCTCCTGAAATGTAGGGGCACCACTGCCAGAGCTACCAAAGAATGAAAGGAACCATAGAGATGATTTCCCCATCACTGGGTGTGTGTAAGCTAGTCGGTGCCAGAGTAGGTGAGGCCGTGTTGGATGGAGGGTAATCAGCAACACTTGTGCCTCATAGACCCCATCTAGGAGTTGTTAGAACCAATTAAAGGCACCGCCCAGGGCCCTCCCTGGTGGCGCAGGAGTTAAGGTCTCAGTGCTATTAAGCTCTCCAGTTCAATCCCCAGCCAGGGAGCTACCCACATGGCACTGCTGACCTCTCCTGTCTTACCCGCTGCTCCCCTTAGCAGTGTATTTCAGTAGAACCGCCTGTTCTGCTCCCCACTCTGTCTCTGGTGAATCCTCTCACCCCTCCCCCTCAAACTGTCCTACACTCCAGTTCAGATTGTATGTATAAATAAAATAAATCTTTAAAAAAAAAAAAAAGACGCCTCCCTTCCAGAAGGAAATTATGAACAGCTGTCAGTTGGCCAGCTGATGTCTCCCGAAGGCTCCTGGGAAGACTTGTGCCTTCCCCTTTATATACCCCCTCAAAGGGCAGCTCAGGCTTCCTAAGAGCAGCGAGCGAGTCAGCTCAGTGCTCTAACTTCCCTTGTTGAAGTTTTCAGTGGTTCAGTTTTTGGCGTTCAGAGTAACAAGCGAAATGACCTGATTCAGGTCTCCCTGGTTCCTGGGAGGGCAGGGCAGGAGCAGTGGGAGGAGAAAGCCCTCAGGGGCAGAGATGGGTTATAAGCAACTCACCGACCTCCAGCTGAGAGCGTGTCCTGAGCAAGGACTGGGTGACAGGACGGATCATAACCCATCTCCAGAGGCTCCAAGCACTTCTGGCGAGAGGGCCCCTGTCACAGGGAGCTCTGCCAGCAACCAAGCGGGTAGGCCGGGAATCGTGAGTCAGGTGGTTTGCATATTCGGCAAAGGGAAGACAGTCTGATGTCCCCAGGAGGCTGAGGGGCATCCTCCTGCCACAAGGAGGAACGAGGGAGACGCTGAGGTCTGAGGGGACCCTGGCCTGACCCTTCACCAGCTTTGGGTCTGCAGAGACAGTGTGTAGCAGGCACCCACCTGGGCCCAGCCCAAGCCAGACTTGGTAGAGGATAAAGGGCAGCTGAACGTCCCTCCAGGTGATCCCACCTTCTCACAGGGCTTCTGAGAACCTCCAGACTCACCTACTTGAAACCTGGTCAGATGCCAGCCTATTAATCCCAAGGTGGGGAAACCTGAAAGGCACTTTATCCCCATGTAGCAGATGAGGAGGCTGAGGACCTGAGAGGGTAACTGGAATGTAGCAGGTTCTTGGAAATGACTTCCCTGCAGCCTGTCTGTGGAGCTTAAAACGTGTCCACAATGAGGACAGGTTCGCGTAGCTTCACAATGGCCATGTCAAAATTTTGGTTCCAAGAGTCCCAAGTTCCTGTCGTGGGCTCTTTATACCAAGCGTGAGCCTCTCCCCGCATCCCCCGCACACAGCACTTGCGCTTCCTTCCCCAGACTCTGACTCGTGGGTAGTCAGTTCTCAGGTCTTAAAGCCAAACAGGGCCTTAAAAGCATCGTGTCTTTCCTTCTTTCCTGTTTAATGAGGAACTTGGAAAGGTGGTGAGAACGAAGTTTGTGGGCGTTTGGGATTGCGCATGACTCTGTGGAGGAGGCACATCACATCAGCTTTCAGCTCATCACACACACCCATGTGGTCTCTGAGCCTCAGTTTCTCCACCTGTCTGGGGAGGGAAAACATTGCCAGTCCTGCCTGCCTCACTG